TTATTATGTGCCCTATTAACATAGTCATAGATAATTGAAAACTGTTGACTAAATAGTGCAACCAAGTTCAGAGGGAAGGTCTACACCAGCACCAATCATAGAGGAATTGTAAATAATTAGGAGGAGTATGTTGCAAAATCTGCCATTTCAAATAAAAATAAAGACATATAAATTCTTAAATGAAACGTCTCTTTGAATCCAAAGAAAACCTGAATAATCTCTAGAGGACATTCTCTATTTTGTGGAAACAAAATATGTGAAGCTTGTTGAGCTGATCCTGAAGCAGTGTGGCCAGGAGAAAAGGGGATTTAAGCCCAGGAGTGCCGGAATCTGATCCTGGGTCCACCCATCACAGGACCCCGGGAGGTCCTGGTCTCTATGCACTTCAGCTATATCATCTCCATGATGAAGAAATCATGTGTAAAGGTCTCTAATATTTCTCTGACTCTGAGACTAAAATTATTTATTGTGAATCTCTATTCCTTAAGAGTTAGAAATTGACAAAACATACTCCAGGAATCATCTAATATGATTTTTTGGGAAAATTTTTAATCCTAAACAATTTGCTATTTCAAACTGAAGGTTGACAAGTTCTGTATGTTTTGCTGTATCTCGTAACAGATCACAATTTTAGGAGAAAAAAAAATGAGGATAATATAATTCACTGGGCAAACGTTTTCCTGTCCAGGCTTTTTAAATGCAAACTGATTTTAATGACTGTTCTTCACTGATAATAAGGTGGTCCATTAGACTGTCTGTCAATCCCCTCACCCATACCCCACCCTGACCATCGGACAGAGACTGACTGGTCAGTGGACTGAAGGCATGACTAAAATTCTTATCTGAGTTGCAGTAAAGGAGAAATCTGTAACTACATATTCCATTGAGAATGTATTTATTCCAGGTTATATTTTTGTTTTATCTGTGTAACAGATGTGACTCAGGTAAAGGGAGATGAGCCTTGCTATCAGTGAAGAATGGATGAAGGAGACGACCAGGAATTTGCGTGTATAAAGGCTGTTCGCAGGAGAACATAGGATGATGGCAGACTGAAGTCCCTTGGTGATAGTGTGGCCTGAGGGGAAACATGGCCACTGGAAATTTCCTTGTGGCAAGAATGACTGAGAACATTTTTTAATTTGAGAGAATTATTTGAAATCTATTTGTTGTGATTACCTTATATCCTTGGCAGCAAAGAGTGTGCTGTATAATATCACCTTGCCCTGCCTGCTGGATTGCCTATGCCTGGTGGCTCCAGAGAGCCAGGTGACACAGGCAACAGGTGCAATCCTAAAGCTATGAGCACTCTGCTAATGACTGTTCCTCCCCTCTTCACCTCTGAATGTYCCCACACGCTCTTGCTCTCCTTTGAGAACACTGTTTCTTGCTCTCCCTGCAGCCTCCAATGAGGTAAGCATTTTGCTTATGCTCTGGTACCTTTGGGATCTAGAAGTAGTGTGGGTCTCTGTGTTCCTCAGTGCCTCCAGCAGACCCTTCTTCCTTTCTTCTTTTAAAACTCTAGTTTTGTATCAGACTATACAATGCATCATTCTTCTTGTGATCAAATGCAAACTCCTGAGTCATTCCTTCTCCTTATGTTTAGATTTTGGCTCCTGGCTTATTGTTATATTTTTCTAACCCTGCTCCTGGTACAATTCTTACAATTACACTATCAATTTGAGTGCTTTTGGCACTATGTGTACGTGGCCCTCTTCTCTCCACTGTGATCCTGCTTTTGATTTTAGTTATGCAAGTAACTCCCTTACCAGTCTGCATAACCAATCACTATTATCTGATCCATAATCTCAGCTCTATTTCCTATTATATCTTGCTTTTATAGCCCCTTAGTACTCTGTGTCTAGGAATTCTTTAACCCCACCAGGCTCTATTTCTATTGATACTATCACATTTTTACTATCTTTAAATCCTGTCATACCTTTGCTTTCCTCCTCACTGTTTCCAACTTGTTACATAAAATTTCAGGTCATAAAACATAAAATCGGAATCTGATTTTATTTTATCATTCTCACCTGGAAATTCCCAAACTTACTCCACATGAGTACGTGCATACTGTACATAGTTAGAGAATAAAGATATCATGAGGACTGGTGTCGTTCTAAGATGATACTACCAACTTCAAGTGGATTATTAGTGCTGTCACACAAACAAAATACATGTGCCCATTCAATTTGTCTCCTTATACTCTTAGTGCCACTTCACATCCCTCTTTTCAAACTCTATTACCTCCTATTCTACCCTCACTCTCACAAAGACGACATTTTTTTGTAGAAAATAGATGGCAGTAATAAGAATATTGCCATAAGTTCTTGGCACTAAACTTTTTGCATGTTACTAGTGATGGACTGTCCATATTTTGTATAAAGCCAACTTTGCATCCCGTCCCCCATCCCATGTGGATATTGTTTCATCAAATGTCTGCTGTCACCTTTGCATTTCTAGTTTTCTGTTCTGTTCTAGAAAATGCACACTGACAAACAAGAATGCATAATTTCTGTTATTAAAAACAACAAATTTTGTTGATTCACATTCTTTTTTAGCTACTGCCACATTTCTCTATTTTCTTCTTTCAGCAACATTCCTAGAATCCCTTAGAGTTCCTTTCTCCACTTATTCTGTCATTTTCTTTTGAATCCACTCCACTTGGTCTTTTAAGCCAAACATGTCATTGAAATGAATTTCTAYGGGGTAAGAATTAAACTTCATGTTTCAAAGCTACTAAATGTAATCCATTTAAAACATAATCATGTAATATATTTAAATGTTAGAGTCAACTCTTCCTCTACCTTATTTTCCATTGGTAGTTTTTGATAGTTGATAATTTTCTCCTTGTAAAAGCTCTATGTCAGATGCCTAGCAAGAGCTTTCTCTCCTGTGTGTCTTCTCCTGTGTGTTGGCTACTCATTTTAAATTGTTTTGCACCTTCTTCTTCATCCCTCCAGACTGTCAATGCATAGTACCCCAAGTCTCAGTCCTCCAATAGCTTCTCTCACTCTCACTCCCCACATTTGTTCATTTGGTGACTTTTAGTCTCAATATTTTAATATTTCATCCATATACCAAGTATCTCTAGTTTAATATTCTCTCCTGAACACCAGAATTTTATACCAACTGCTTTCTTGGGATCACCCTTAGCTATTAGGCACCTTAAACTGATGATGAGAATAAAACTCCCTGCTAATCCTGTGACTTCACTTTCCTATGTAAATCGATGGTGGCTTCATCTTACTAGTTGCTAAAACTATCACATTCATTCTCTGACACTCATATTGATAGATATATGTTTCTATCTATACAATCTGTTAGTTCTACTTTGAGATTTTGTACAGACCCTGACCACTCTTCCCTCCCACATTGCTAACACAGTGGAGTGGTACATTTATTATTCTCTTTCCTGGATTACTGTAGTAACTTCCTAACTGATCTCTCCTTCTACCTTTTTGCTCCATTTAGCCAACTCTCAACTTGGAAGCAAAAAAAAAAAAAAAAAAAAAAAAACCTTTAAAAATGCAAACCAGATTAAGTTACTCCTCTATTTGATCATTACCACAAGCATCCCACACCATCCAGAGCAAAGGAGGGCCATGCCAGCCTTCTTGCTATTCCTGAGCAACCAGCTCTACTCCTACTCCAGGACTTCCACCGGCCCCATAAAACCTTCATGGTCATGTCAGAGTTTATTTGTTTGTTTGCTTATTTGTGTTAATTCATCCTGATCTTATTGAGGGCTTTTCTGACCACCATATTTAAAACTGAACCTACTCCCTCTATTCTTCACACTTCAGATTTGTTTCCTGTCCTTGCTTATTTTTCTCCAGATACTTCTCACACTTTGATACCTTAATGTATTCTTTACCTGTCTACTTATTTTCTGTCTTCTGTACAACAAACACACTCTTCCACCTGCCAGTCTCACCTGCCAGTCTCTTTCTGCACTTTCCCAGGCTTCTGCGGCAGCAACATTAAGCTTTGCATATTGATATTCCTTCACGAAAAAACCAAATAAATTTTTCACTTCTTTACACAAACCATGTCATATTATATATAGTACACACACACACACACACACACAAATACCTTTATATGGTAAAGATTTCTCCTTTTGTTCTTAGGAGGCATCTCATACTCAAAGCTGTATAAAATGTTATTAAGTGGAAGTAACTGAAATAATAATATGCTATTGATGCACAGGGATTCACAGGGAAGATAGAAGTCCCTGACTGGGATTTGCTTGCCCTTACTATTCACTACTTCTGTGAGCAACAAAAATCTACTTAATCTGTGGCACACAAGTTTCTCATGGGCAAAACAAAGGTAAGATGAAGTAATTTCTAAGTCTAACATTTTATGTTGAAGTAATTTCATTCTTTTGTCTCCTCAGTCTCTGACATGAAAACAAAAATAGAAAATCTTGGAGCACAATTTCAGAAAAATAGTAACATGCTTTTAAAAACTAGCAAGCTAAAGAATTAGGGAAATTATGKTTTTTTCCCACATATTCTGTATATTTAGCCTAAGTATGCAGACAACACAGAAGCAAACTCAATACTACTCTGTCAAAACATGCTTCCAATTCTTGTAGTCCACAATTTTTGTGGGCAGATCTAGTTTGGAATCCAGAATTTTGAAGATTTTATCAAATTAATACAGTACAAAAATATTGCATAACAACTTAAATAATGTCTATGGAACCTAGTGCATTACAAACAAAATTCACTACTATTTATGCAATGCAATACAATGAGTCATCACATTAGTGAAATATGTAACAATTCTAAATACTTTTTTTCAGTTCAAGGCAGATTTTGCTACAGAGTAGTTCAGGTACTTAGGTACTAAACATATCATCAAAAAACCTCAGTTTCCAATCCTTTATGGATTTTGGAATTGCAGATTAGGGGTCTGGAATCTGTCTTACTTATCAGTGGTTAGTGAGAAAACAACTGCTGTTTTGGAGAGATGAATATTTAAAATTTTTTAACCTCCTCCACATGTGGCATCGCAGTCTTCCCAGCCTGTGTGAGTCCACATGAAGAGGGGTTCTGGTTCTTTGGAGCTCTGATTCTCTGGAACGGGGTCTGATGGGACAGTGTATTCATAGTGAAGACCATAATTCTGATCTTGAAACAGGAGTACCTATAACATATAAAAATGATTAGGACACATTTGATGTGAAATATAAACTAAGGACACTGATATTTTAAAATGCCTATTGCATGGCAAGGATACCTCTTTAATATGTAGCAGAAAAATGTGACAGTACTCGTAAATATCAAAATTGTCATACTTTTGAAAAGATAGGACCCTATAGTTACCTCTGAGCCTAAGAGGTCATGAAGAAAAGTTCACTTGAATGGTATCAGAAATACCTGGTAATTTATTTTCAATTTGATGGACTAAACAGTTTCTCAAAGAATTGGCACATGCATGATGACTTCGGTTGGGGTGGAAGGGAGTGGTGGCAGGAATGTGTGTTCCATGTGGCATTAAGATATGACCCACAGTATAATATCAACTGTGATCTTTCCACTTGAATAAAAAAAATAAACAGGAAGTCCCCAATTTAACAGAGGACTCCTCTTTCTTCCATACTCAGGTGAAGACTTAAGAGGATCATATCTCCCTAAGGACAGAGAATTTCAAAGCCAACTGGAGGATAAGACTTTCATTCCACGTATGCTTGCAGTTAACTTTGAATTTTGGCAAGTTGATGAATTTTCCACTTGTAGTAAAAATTGTTTTCTTCAAAAATGTTAAAATGAATTTATAAATAAATATTAACTTAATAACTGTACATTTATGTACATACAAATAAACAGTTCAATAAACCATAAAGGATGTGTGGGAAGGACTGAACTCTAGGTTACACTGCACAGAACCATAGGCAAGGATCATGTCTGTTTTGTTCTCTACAGGTACCCAGAACCAAGCTCAGAACTGGATCATAATGAATACTTACTTATACATAGTATATAGATGTATATACATATGTATCTATGTGTATGTAATTAAGTGAAACAATGAATGATGATTTTTCTTCATCAATTCATTTTCAGAAAATCTGTCAAACAACCACATGAAATATATCACTTCAATGACTCTGAGAAACTATGGAAAAATGTATATAATAAAATGTGAAGCACAAAAACACATATTCTTACATTTTTAAATCATGCTTAATTTTAGGAAACTTTGTGCAATGTTTCACCTGTGTTAGTCAATTGTACGTAAAAAGAGTTAATACTCTGTGGGGRAAAAAAAAAAACTAAATGAACCCAAAGTTAAGGGTCTGCATTTCTATTATATTTTTCCCACTTTTTTTCTCAAATTTTTGTTCAAGGTATCAACAGAAATACTAAGATATGTTTTGATGGTGAATTGAGCATTGAGTTTATAAAATAACTACACGATAATAAATATAAGCCTGGCATAGTGGTGTATATGTAGGAAGATTGCAAGTGTAAAGTCAACTTGGGCAACTTAACAAGATCCTGTCTCAAAAATTGAAAAGGTCTGGGAATGAAATAAAAAGGGCTAGAGATTTAGTTCAGTGGGAGAGTGTCCCTGGGTTCAATCCCCAGAACCACCAAAAAAAAAAAAAAAAAAAAAAAAAAAAAGAAAAGAAAAAAGAAAAAAAAAGAATAAATAAATAAAACCATTTTTAAGTTCACAAATGAGTAACACACTAGGTACTAATTCAGAATACATCACAGTGCTTACACAGTGCTTATTTTGGCTTCAATATCTCAAATATCTCATTTGATGTTGCCAATTATAGGCTACTTTCAGCCCAATAAGTTTAAAGAGAAAGAACTTAGTTTTTTTTTTTTTTTTAAAACTACTTGTTTATGTTTTTAAACTAGACTATTACATAATTTTAAATGATGGAATAAACATAAATAACAACTATTTGCCAACTTAATTAATTACATAAAAACATGTCTATTTTACCTAATAAACTGCCTTTTCATTGATAGAACTTGAGGTAGTCCTYGAATATCTAATGCCACTTAAAATAGAGACATTGGCCACAAAACCATTAGCTCTTTCTTAAACCATTTGAATTTGGCAGTATTCTTTGCAAAAGGAAAGTGTGACCATGTTACAGTGGATGGGCACATATGGAAGCATGGCAGCAGAGGTATTGCCTTTCAAAAATCAGTACCAGTTTCGAGTCTGTAATAGTCATTAAAGAAAAATATCTTAGAAGTGCAGTTTCCCTTGGATTACTGAATAAATCCAGGTCACATAGATGCCTTCTTTTAGACATAGTTCACTGACTTTAATTATACTTCATGCTTCCAGGAAAAACCTTGGTAATTACCAGTTAGATTAAAGATTCTGAAGCAATGAAGCTCCCTCTGCCCAATACCAAGGTCTCTCATACACACTTTTTAAAGTAGAGGCTCATTATAAGAGACTTGGTCTTGTTCCATTTTTAAAAAATGTAGGATACACTTACATAAGTTAGCAAACATAATAGCATTTTCTGAAACCTAATCATTAAAAATATTTTTGCTTTGATAGTTATTGTATGTGACCCAATCATAGAAGGAGCTATATATTACTCAAATAATAGCAGTCATTTTTTTCTCTTTTTTTCTATGTGGCACAGAGGACAGAAGGGAGTTTCCAATTTAATTTATAGAGTAGGACACAAAGGATTAAAATAATTATTTAAAATATGTATATTTATTATCCAAGGAAGTTTAGTATAAAGATCTCAACTTTATAAAAGAGAGAAAGCATTGAACAATGATTATTTACTGAAGTTAAATAATTCATTAGATAACACTATGCACCATGCTTAACTTTCCTCATACTTAGTTCTTTTTAGTCAATCAAATGAAATAACAACAATCATACATATTGCACAGGGTTATTATGTGGATTATGTGTTGCACTGAGTATAAAGCACCCTTGGCCAGTGTCTGATTCTTAGTGCTCAATGAATGGTGAATATTACTAAGATTGGAACAGAAGGTACACATCCACTTACCTTGCTCCCTGTATTGGTGATGGTAAAGCATAGTGACTGTAGTTATATAGAACCTTGTAATTTAAATTACGGTTCTTGGACCAGAAATAGTGGCATCAGGTAGAAACTGGTTAGAAACACAGATCTCAGGTCCTGCCTCCAAACCAAATCAGTAGAAYGTACATTTTAACAAGAACTCCATGTAATTAGTGGGCACTTTAAATGAGTCAATGCAAATGGGCCAATATGTGATCTGAACCTCTGGCTCCTATATTAGCAACACAGATGTCTCCAATTGAAGATAAAGTCAACATAAAATGTGTGGAGATATTAAATAATGTGGCATAACACACTCCAAAATAAACAGCCAATGGATCATGGCTTAGATCAGTTTTATGTGTAGATGTAAGGAGGTGCTGAAATGTCTGAATTTTAGAACACTTTTTGCCACTAAAATAGAAAACTCATGCTAGTGATATATTCAGTCCTCTAGCTCCTATGGAACCATCACTGACTGTCATGATTAAGGTCAAAAGAGGCTTGTAGACCTGCCACCAGCCTGGACAGAGCCCCATCATCCTAACCCTTTCTCTCCAAATCTCTCTGGACATGTGTCTAATCTTTTAATAACTTTAAGCCTAAATTATCATCCCAAACACTCAAATTTTCATAAGTCTTTACTGGAATCTATTGACCCAGTAAGCAAGCCTGACAGGGTAAATGAGAATACTGTGTGTGTATGTGTGTGTATGAGTATAAATAAATATATATTTATTTAGCAAATTATTTTCCTCATCAAAAGAACATTTTATCAAATGCATTTTATACAGAATCAGACAATACCCACACAATGGATTTTGAAATGCTACAATTTGCAATATTACATAGCACTCTTTTCATAGATATGCAGTCTGATTAGTAAATGAATGCTTCTAGGAAAAAGAGAGTCTTTGTTCCTTGGGACTATACTCTGAATCTGTGAAAACCCTAAAACATTGTATTCTGTTTATAATAATTGTTGTTTTCAGAAATCATAAATTTAAATACATTTTTAGAAAACTAAAAACTCACCTCTTAAATAATCTTAAATGCCTACCTGACAATTTGGATTTGGGAAAAAGATTAGAGAAGGTACAATAGGAATGTCTTTATCATGAGAAACTGCTTATGCAATGTTATCAATTCTTTCCCTCATACCAGGAGGTGTAAAGGTGTTGTAGTAGGACCTTTGGCAGAGATCTTCTCCCAGAGGCCTCTTCTCACGTAATGAACAGTAGTTCCAGCTAAATTGAATGCTCCAGAGTGTTCAATCTTCCAGTCACTATTTATAGACTGTTTGCCAGAATCTCGGAGAGCTATAAAGAGGTTTGAAAGTGTTATGAGCATTAAAAAACCAGCAGTAATACCCACTTCACATTATTTCATTAAAGCACTAATAACTTAAGCTGATAAATTATTGGTAATTGTTATGTAAGCCAATCTCCATTTATGGATGTTTGAGTGTTTCCAAGTTCTTTAAATTCTCTATAATGCTTGAATATACATACTGTAAACTAACTATATCTGAATATTTCCCTTGACCATATTCTCAGATTTGTAATTGTAGAGGCAAAGAAATTGAACTTTTAAGGATTTTGAAAAACACTTTCAAATTGATTTTCTTAAAAAGGTGTATCAATTTATATTCCCATACCAGTGCCTGAGAAAGCCCATTTCTCCATTTCTGAACATCACCTTCGGATGAATTTTTCTTCTCTCTCTCTCTCTCTCTTTTAATTAACTGGGGATTGAACCCAGGAAACTTTACCACTGACCTATATCCTAAATACTTTTTATTTTTAATTTGAGACAGAGACTCTCTAAGTTTCTGAGGCTGCCTTTGAACTTGCCATCCTCCTTTCTCAGCCTTCCAAGTTGCTGGAATTACAGATGTTCACCACCATGCCCACAATCTCAGTCAATTGATCCCACAATTTAAATTGATTTTGTCTTTAATGGAGATAACTGTACTGCTAGCCTAGGAATCAGAGGTTCGAATCAAATATTAGTCCATTTCCTTCTTCTACATTAAGGTGCCTGCAAATTACCTGGGGTTCATTTTGTCTGGAGCAGAAGCTGAGATCTATATTTCCTTATATAACATTTAATCATGATTGAATAATTACTCAAATATTCACTATAACTCAGTAAAACTTAATGTTCAGAAAGCCTCCAAATGAACAAAATAGACATRCTCTCTCTCTCCTCATGGAACTTGTAACCTAACTGGAGAACCTGGCATTCAACCAGTTATTTAAATAACTAATTTATGAAGGGAGTTGAGGAAGGCTTGTGTGGGGGGAGTTATTTATTGAGGATGTTAGCTAGGAGGAATAAAGAAAGCACGGAGAAAGTTCAAGACCAAGTGGACTGCAAACATAAAGGTCTTAACATGCAGCTTGCTGGAGATCTGGGAGACAAGTGTGCATGAGTCCAACTATGCTGAGCAGATCATAAAGACAAAGGCTGGAGACATAAAGAATAACTAGACCTTATAGTTTCTGTAGTATTCAGTGAGTTTTTACAACAAAAAAATAAATACAAATCTTTAATGAAAATTTGAAAAACTATTATGTGGAGAAGGGACTGGTGTAGTACATTTAGATAGAGAAGATAGCACATATCATCAATATGGTAGCCCAGCTGAAAGTAATGGTGGCTTGGATTGAGGTAATTGAAAAAAAATAGCAAGATTTACTTAGAATGAAGTTGACAGAATATGGTTATGACTTGATTGTCTTGGGTAAAAGAAATTGTTACATATGACGCTAGATTTCCAGAGTAAGGAAACAGTGGGATATGAGGATATTAATATAATGAAAAAAGCTATCAACCATGRTTGAGGAGAAATATCAGAAGTTAAATTTTGAACAATCTAGCTTTTTTAAAAGGATCTCTTGCTTTATTACTATTAAAATTGATGATTTTTGTAAKCAAAAGCAATAAGCAGAAAAAAAGCAAAAAGCATTTGCTTATTAATCACTTATTTTTTTCATAATAATTACTTGTTAGAATTATTTATGGTTCTTAGCAAGATTTTCTGGTGCTTGTATAAAAACAATGTATTCATGAAATTATAATTATTGAAATTTAACTCATCAATCACAGCTTCCAATAAATAATGTTTTATCATTCACTTTATATAGTCTAACATGAATTTTTAATAGAAATATTAAATAATCATACATACTTCCAGAGTTATGAAAAATAATAAGATTAATTTTTACTTTGAATTTTAAATTTGAAGGAAAATATATTGAAAGAAAACTATCAAGATAGCTACTACCATCTATGGATGAATAGGAAATACTTGTTACGATCTACAAATGGATGTATTTTAGACAATGTTAAAGCTTTTTGATAAAAAATAAATGATTTTGCCTAAAAGGTAAAGTATTTCTTTATATTTTCCTACAGTCTTTAAAATATTTGAAACATCTTTTGGCTTAGATTTGTATAGTGATCAGTACAATCTCATTTCCCCCACAGTATTTCAAGACATTTTTAGGGCACAATTATAAAGGAAAAGGACATGAAAATCTCTGATAAAAATTCCTTAAGAAACCTCTTGGGGTTGCTAGAATAGGATATTTAGACTCAACTCATATTATTGGCATTTAGCATTCCCCATAAAATGGCACACACATAAACATGGAAATCCACAAATTTTATTAGCTTAACAGTCATCTCACATGAAGAAACAGTGGTTTGGTCATGTGATATTTCTTAGTCTTTGTTTTTGTTTTTAGTTCATTAACTTTAAAATTGTGTTTTCAGAAAAAAATGCTTCTGACCTTGATTGAATAACTGGAACTGCTTTAGTTTCCCACCATAAACAACTAGAAAACTAGTCAATGTATGAAACAATTGTTCTCAAACATTGGATTCCTGACCACAGAAAAGTGTGATCCCTAAGGGGTGGAGAACAAATGTTCTCAAAATTGCTTGGCTTTCTGTTTGAAAATATTTACTAGACCCTTGAAAATATTTATTAGAATATTAGGCAGCCAACAAAAAGTCAGTGATAATAGTAAGAGAACGCTCATGACATAATACAAAAATAATGTAAGTATATGTTTATACTTTAATGCAATTCCTGGCAAAAACCCAGGAACCGGCTGAGGCTCCTGGCATTGGTTTAATGTTGTACAGAAGACAAGAGWGAGTGACACAAAGAGCTCCAAAAACTTACAAAGGGTTCTTGGAGTCTATGGCCGAATATTCAGCTTCACCCAATTTGGGTGTGATTCCCCAAAGCTGGGAAGGAAACTGCTACTGGAAACATCTAAACTTTATAACCCCTGGAGCTCAAGTAGGGACGAAAGATAATGAGTTCTATGCAGAGTGGTAAGATCTATTTGAACATATGGTCTTTGGTAAAGAAGCTACAAGAAACAAGTCTTTAGTAGCCCTAGGAGAAAGACTAATTTAGCACCATGCTACCAAACTTTAAAAAAGGCTCAACAAGTCTGGCTGATTTGAAAGTAAATTAACTGTACAGAAAAATGAAATTCAATGCTCAATAATAAAAATAACAAAATATAGCCATTTAGCAATGTCTTATTAATCATGTCCAGATTGCAATAAAAAATTACTATACACATGAAGAAGTCAGAAAATGTGACTTAACATAACCAAGAGGAAAAAATCATTCAATAAAATGAAATTCAGGAATACTAGAGATGATGGACCTAGTGGATTAAACAATAACTATAAATATGTTTGGTATGTACATGAATTTTAAAAAAAAATATGTGATATCGAAGAGTGCCATGTGAAAAAGACACCGTATATAGAGAGAGATAAAAGAATTTAAGCATTCATTAGGGATATCATAAGAACCAATTCAAGCCAGAAGATAATGAATACAATATGGAAAATGATGAAAGTAAATATATATGCAGTGAAAATATCTTTCAAACACAAAGGCAAAATTAATATATTTTCAGATAAACAAACCTGAAAAATACAATGTCATCAGATTTGCTCTACAAAAAAATGTTCTTGAATGTTCTTGAAGCTGGAAGAAAATGGTTTCAGATAAAAACCTGTCTATGTAAATAAAAGAATAATGTTGGTACTAGTAAATGTATAAAAATGTAAAATTTTTGTTTTTGTAAAGATCATTAATAATGCAATTGACTAAAGCAAAATGATTACAATGATATTTCATCTCATTTTCATTTTACTGACTGATTTTTTTCATTTGATTGTTTGGTCACATTTTCTGACTTCACATGTATGGTCATTTTTTGTTGTTGTTGTTGGGTGCTGGACATGTTCAATATGACAATGCTGAATGGAATGTAGAAATAAATTGATAATGTGAAATAAGGAAATTGAATGCAAATAGTAAAAAAGGAGGGAAAAATGATGTACACTCTATTAAGGAGTTTCYATTATTTGTACAGCAGTATAATATAATTTGAAAGGAGGCTATAATAGGTTAAAATGCATATTATAAATGGTAGACAAATCAATTAAATATAATAAAGAACTATAACAAAAAAAGGAAAGGGAGAAAATGGAATACTTATAAATATTTAATCTAAAAGTAGCCCAAAACAAAAAAAGGGAATAAAGAAGAAATGAAACAAAGAGAAACAAGCCCAACATGTCCATTATTATATTGTGTTTAAATGGACTAAGGACATTGGTCAAAAGAGAGGCTGTCAGGTTAGAGAAAAATGAAAGACCACACTATAATCAATTTATGAAAGTGCACTTAAAGAACAAAGACATGAGCAGATTAAAAGTGAAGGGATTGAAACAGCTGAAGCAAGCCACACTGATAATAATAATGAGAAAAAGAACTGGCTATATTATATAAGCATGAACTTCATGAAAATGAACACTTTCAGAGATGAAAAGGACATTTTAAGATACATGATTTATATTAAAATTCATTTAAATTTAAAAATGACAACATTTATTAAAGAGACCTCAGGATCTTAAGTGCATGATAAGGCACCAAAATGCACAAAGCAAAAACTGATACAATTGAAAGGGTACATAGAAAAATCCATAACCTGAGTTGGAGATTTCATTACTTCTCTTTCCTTAATTGATGAAATAAGAAATTATCAGTAAGAATACAGAAGACACAGCTGGGCAGAATGGCACACTCCTGTAATGCCAGATACTCAGGAGGCCAGAGTAGGAGGGTTACAAGTTTGATGTTAGCCCAGGCATCTTAGTGAGGCTCTGTCTCAAAATTAAAGAGAAGGGGTTGTAACTTGGTAGCACTTGCCTAGCATATGTGAGGCCATAGATTCAATCCCATTATCACCAAAAAAAAAAAAAAAAAAAATCCAGA